TGTTTTGTGTTGAGTTGATTGACAAAGTTATCAGTTATTTCAAATAATAATCCCTTACTTGTATACTGGTATCTATGTGTGGCAATAGACGAATAGTTATGTCACAATGAAAATTAAGCAAAAAGAAATATCATAGAAAAATATAAAGTGTTGAGCTGACCAAGGAGTAATTTTATCATACATTACTAAAATAATTTTATTGCATGAAATGTATTCAATACATATACTTAACCCTAAGGATTACAAATATCCTAATATAAATGTATATTTAGTGATGGAAGTGTAGAATTGAGTTTCTCAAGCCTAATTGTTGCATTATTGCTAGATTTGCTACAACAATAATTATGCCAATACAATCAAACTTCATTCACCAAATTAATAATGAACCCATATCTATCACAAATGAAAAATAATAAGAAAATATTTTCTACTTCGAAAATAACATCCATTTCTCGAGTCGCACATTCACAACCCTTGAGAAAAACAATTATATAAATAAGAGATTAGTATTGTAATAAAAAAAATTGTAATAACTTCTGATGTCTAAACAATTAGACCAAATTTTATAAATATAAATTTCATCAAATAGGGAGTGTTTTCTAATGTCGATATTCCAAACCATTTCTTTTGCGTTTTCAAAAAGCTAATAAAGTTCATATGTTGTGTATTCTTTCTCATATTTTATCTGGATAGCTTAGATTGAAGCTACTAAAAACCTCTCGATACTTTTTCAATAAATTCTTTTAGATTTGTTCGAATACAAACATTTAAAATTTCAACTTTTTATAACATGTTATAAATTCGATTAAAGATATTAGTAATCAACAAAATAAGTAGGAGATAGGTAAAGACAAGATAAGTAGTAAAAATGAACACACAATATTTAACATGGGAACTATTATAAAAAAGCTCAGAAACGACGAGCGTAAAAATAATCCACTATATGAAAATAAGAGTGTACAAGAACCTTTGAAAGGGTGAGTATTATAAGAGAACTCTCATTATAGGAACTCGCAAAGGAGTAATACAAATTAAGAATAGTGGATTAGGAAGATTATGTGTAGGTAGAAACTTCGATCGTGATATGTATCTTAGGTAAATTCTCTCTAAGCATGGAGGGTCACTTATAGAGTGTATGAGAGTATCGAAATATTGGAGGATATGTAGGTGGATACATACTCCAAATGATTTCCAACACCTTATATTTATAGGGGATGTAAGGAGGTGGAGGAAGTGTTGTGTGGAATTTTCTACACACAAGCTCATCAAATTGTCCACATAAATTTAAAACTTTCTTGAGCATTCATTGTTTTTAGATTCTTCCACCATTCTTCATCAATTTCTCGATTATTTTAGAATTTTCTAAAAACCTTGAAAAACCTTGACATATAATGAATTGGGCTATGAAATTTGGGCCGCACTAACCCAACAACACTAGTAAATTAGCTTTTTATAGCGATTTTTTTTTAACAGCGGTTTGGGGGTTCCGCTATTAAAAAAAAATGATACTCACCTTATAATAGCGCTTATACGTCGTGTTATTAGAAATTTTTAAAAAATACCACAAACTATTGCTCATGTTTTAGAAATTACCACCTCAAGTGGTTTTTTTTTAAAAAAAAAATAAATAAAAACCTCCAACATTTTTTCAAACATAAAAATAAACTCCCACCTTTGTTCCTAAATGACGCCATTGTGGGTCTGCCGCCAATTTTCCTTCTCTTTTCCTTTGATTCTTACTTTTGTTCTTCCTTCTTCCTCTCTCTTTGCCAACCCTCATTATTGATCAATCACCGACCCAAATTGAATGCCAAATGATACATTCATAACTATTCTCTCTCTCTCTCCTTAGATCCTTGCAAATAAAAAAATATCAAATTGCAACCTTAATCAGCTGTAAATCAAGAAATAAGAACCAATTTTGTAACTAATTAACCATGGAATCAACTCCGAAAATTTAATTTATAAACCCTAACTTTAATTAAAAAAACCCAAATTGATTTTTAAAACCCTAATTAAACAAAACTCTCTATATAACATGATTATGCCCTCGATTTTGTATTGTCGTTTGGCTTGAAGAACAAATTTGCGAAATAAAACCCTCAATTTGTTCACTTACCAAAAAAAATTTGCTCTCATCTTCGTTCTCAAAACCAGTGGCGGAGCCACCCTTGTGCACGGTGGGTCACGTGACCCAGTTTTTTAGGGAAATTATCAATGATACCCTTGTCGTTTTGACTTTTATCAATGAAACCCTTCATTAAACTTTCATTATCAGCGGTATCCCTATAATTTTACCTTAATTGCTACGGTAACCATGCCGTTAAACAAAAGTTAAATTTAGCTCTGAATTATGGTTATTTACATATGATCATGTTAGATTGCTAATTTTTTTATTTTTTTTTATAATATTAAAATACATTTGAGTGTGAAATTGTGTTTATGATTGCATGTAACAGTGTTATTTCTGATTTTGCAAAGTAATTGCTAAATTTTTAATCTTTTTAGATATTAAAATTGGTGTTGTGTGTGAAATTGTATTGTGATGTTTTGGTGTGGTTAAATTAAGTGATTGTATACTGATTTTGCAGAATGAATGAGAATGAGAATGAGAAGGTTGTGTTTCGATTTAAGTATAAGGTGCATAGAATTGATATTGAAGTGGACCCTGATTAATGTAACTTAATGGATTTAATCATAGAATTTGAAGATAAGTTACAAAAAAAGAGAGTAGTTATAATGAACCCTATTTTTGCTTATGCTTATAGATGAGATAAACACTGGCCAATAGATGATGGTGACTTAATGAGGTTGTTTAGGACATGTCCAAATGTTGTTGTGTATGAGATTTTAGTTGGTACTACTATGAATTCAACTTCATTTAATGATCTAATGTATGATTTTAGGAGGAGCAAAAATAAGGGGTGAAGGTTATACAAGAAAGAGGGAATTAAAGAAAAAAAAAAGGAGGAACACTTTTGGGATTTTTGGAAAGAGATTGAATGATAGAGGCATTTAAGTATTTTTGACATTTCCCACCCCATTAAACCTGTCAAATGATTATACTTAACGTGTGTTTAACGACATGGTTATTGTAGCAATTAAGGTAAAATTATAGGGGTACCGCTGAATTTTAATTGTGGAGGCGGATGCACTATGCTCCGTGCATCCGCTTCTTCTTTAAAAAAGACGGAATGAACATATAGTTGTTCAGTATAGAACATATGGGTGTTTTGTAAAGAACATATAGTTATTTTATAAAGAACATCACATATGGTTGTTTTGTAATGAACATATAGTTGTTTTGTAAAGAACATATAATTATTTTGTTAAAAAAAACATCCACCTTTATGTTCTTTGTATATAAATAAAGAACATTCGTAATATTAATAAAGAGCACGATAATATAATGTAAAGAATATTATTTTTATTCAAAAAAAAAGAACATAATAGTATTTTTTAAAGAACATTTAGCTTTTCAATCTTTAAATGAATTACTTGTTCCATAATTGAAGAGTTTTGGTAATTATTTCTCAATCTCAATTTAGAAATTTGTATATTTCCTCATATTTAATTTCACTTGTTTGAATTTTTTAGAGAGAGGAATAAAAATTTTAGAGAGAGAAATAGAAAATTTATAAAGAAAAAGAAATTATTGTGATAGAAGACAATGGCTACGCATTTAGATCGAGTTTCGCGGTGCTTTTAATCATTGTTTTGCTAATGGAGTGATTTATTAATCAAATATCAAAGGTAATTTTGAATGAAATTTTGTATTTTTTTTAATTGTGTTACTTTAGATTTCAATTAGAATATTTTGTAATCATAAAATTCATTGTTTAATTACCTTTTTAAAATTCGATGAATCTGGATATAGATGTTGAATTTGAGAACAATGTGACAAAGATTGAAGATGATGTTCTTTATAAGATAGTGTTATGTTCATTTCTTGAATCTTTACAATTCAATAACATCATTTCACCTTAACTAAATGTTCTTTTCATTTTAGCTAAATGTTCTTTACGTCTCTATACAATGTTCTTTCCGCTTTTTTTTTGGGAACGGATGCACCATGCGCATGGTATATCCGCCTCCACGAACCACTAATTGCGCTGATATAGATAGTTTAATGAAGGGTATCATTGATAAAAGTCAAAACGACGAGGGTTTATTGATAATTTCCCCCTTTTTTTATTTTTTTTACATAGAGAAACAGTGTTTTAAATATTAAACATTACATTAAATAATCATAAGTGCTTGATAGTCTAGTGGTTAAGGCCTCACATATTTGTAAGGAGGACATGAGTTCGATACCCATCAAAACCTTCACATGAAATTCGGTTGAGCTTTCCCAAACTTGATTTCCCGATTTCAATACAATTCAACTGAGATTTCAAGATTTACGTGCTACATTTCAGGTAGGTTTGTTTCTCACTCATAAGTTGAATTTTGATATTGATTTTTTTAGGTATTTTATTCATGATTTTAATTAGTGAAATTGTGGTGTTTGATCTAATTGATACTCATAATTACCTAGGTTTGATTTTGATTGGTTTATGAATTTTTAGGTTGAAATTTTAAGCGGCTTCTATAGTTTTGCTTGGTCAAACGGATGAATTTCCCCCAAAATTGATTAATTGATATTTGGTGTACTATCGTTTTATATGATATAAATTTCTAGGTTTCTATGGTTGATTGATTTTTTTTGGAGTTTTACCAGAAAGAGATGCTAATTTTTTGAAAGATAAAATTAGTTTGAGTGATTGTTTTGTTAATGGTTAGTGTCTGGGCTGCATGTTGTGGCCGGTGTTATACCTTCGTGATATAATGAAATTCTTGCATTTTCAATTTTTCATCACATCATACAACTTATTTAAACAATATACTGCTTAATTTGTTGCTACTATTATTGGACTCATATTGGAGAAAGAATTAATTGAAATTAATTTAGGTAAAAGCAGTGGCGTATCCAGGAATTCAGAAGTGGGGGTTCGGTATCGTTACAAAATAAGATATAGCCCGCCGGTCTTTTTAAATTGCAACGTTGAGGATTTTACGCTTGTCAATGCAAATTCTATAGATTAAATTTTTGTAAAAATTAAAGAAAGTTGATATCATTAAAGCATTTTTCTAGACGAATTGAATCTAACAAGACACCATTTGACTGTACATATTTTTTTCCAACATCAGAATCACAAATTAAAAAAAAAAACAATAGAAGGAGTGTGGGTAAATATTGAACCTCTGTCCTTGAAGGAAAAGGGAAAAATATTTTTTTTTTTAAAAAAAAAAGAGTAAGAAAAGAGAAGAACCTCTGACCAATAAGCCCAAAACGAAACTAGTGTGCCAGGCCAAACCACTGAGCTTTGCTATTTTCCAAACAACCTCATCACCTGTATGACTCATGCTCCTGTACTCAGCTTCTGTAGAACTTTTAGCAACCACTTTCTGCTTCTTTGTTTTCCAGAAAATAAGAGAATTTCCTAGAAAAATACAATAACCAGTCAAAGATCTAGCTGTATCAGTACATGTACCCCAATCAGCATCACTGTAAGCAATCAAGTTCATATCAGAATTTGCTGGATAAAACAGGTCCATATTGATAGAACCCTTGAGATATCTGAGGATATGAACAACTGTAGACAAATGGGGAGCTGTAGGCTCACTCAAAAATTGACTTAGTTGCTGAACTGAATAAGAAATATCAGGCCTTGAAAGATTCAAATACAACAGCTTCCCAACTAACCTTCTGTAAACCTCAGGATCAGGAATTAATTCCCCATCATACTTGCTTAACTTCAATCCCTTAGGCATAGGAAAAGTAGCAGGAGTACAATTTTCCATGTTCTGATCTCTGAGAAGATCTAAGATATATTTTCTCTGATTCAACAAAATACCAGAGTCTGATCTAGTCACTTAAACACCCAAAAAATATTTCAAAGCCCCTAGATCTTTGATAGTAAAAGCATTATGCAAATCTGTCTTCAATGCTGCAATAACAAACCCATCATTTCCAGTCACCAACAAATCATCAACATATGCAACCACAACTGTAAAGGAAGAACCAGACTGTAAAATGAACATAGAATAATCTTGTTTGGATTGAGTAAAACCCCATTGAATCAAAAACTTGCTCAACTCTTTATTCCAACACCTAGAAGCTTGCTTAAGTCCATAAATGGACCTGTTTAGCTTACAAACTTGACCTGCAGAAGCCTTAAAATAACCAGGAGGAGGTTGCATATAAACTTCTTCATCAATATACCCATGTAAGAAGGCATTATTAATGTCCAACCGCTGAATATCCCAATTTCTGACAGCAGCCAAAGCAATAACTACTCTGACTGTAGTTAATTTAGCAACAGGACAAAAAGTGTGTTTGTAGTCCTTGCTTTCAATTTGCTTATCACCCCGAGCAACAACCCTAGCTTTACATCTTTCAACCTCACCATTAGGTTTAAATTTGGTTTTATAAACCCACTTGCAACCTATAGCTCTCTTTCTTGCAAGAAGATCCACCAAATCCCATGTATTGTTAGCTTCTAAAGCCTGGATTTCCTTTTCCATTGCCTCAATCCATTCAGAATGATCCTTAGCTTGTTTATATGAAGATGGTTCATATGCAGTCATAACCAAATACAAGTTATGTAAAGAATCAGGATGAAGAGAAGCTAGAGATGGTTCAGCATATACATTAAAAGATGCTGAAATATCAGAATCAGGATGAGAAACATGTTTATGAAGAGGTTTGGTCAAAACAAAATCCTTAAATTTGGAAGGAGTTTTGCTTTGCCTAAAAGAATGTCTTACAGGTGGTACAATAGTAGGAATCTCAGGATGAGGAGATAAAGAACTAGAGTGTGTAGCCGGATCAGAAATAAAATGATCAGATTCTGAAGTAGAAGGAATATGAGAAGAATTTTGAGGAGAAGATTGATAAGAAGAATGAGAAGAAGATTGAGGAGAAGAATTTTGAAAAGAAGAATGAGAAGGAGAAGAAATAGGCAAAGAATCATCAGGAATTGACTGAGAAACCTCAAACAAATCCTGAGACTCATCCAAAGCAGGATTGACTAAAGGCTTTGAAACTGAGACAGAAGTAGAAGGAAGAACAGAAGACTGAATTTTGAAAGGAAACTCATGTTCAACAAACAAAACATCTCTGCTGAGCATAACCTTATGAGTTTCTAGGTTATACAACTTATATCCCTTTTGACCAAAAAGATAACCAATGAACACACATCTGACAGATCTTGGAGCAAATTTATCCAATGTTTTAACAGCAGGATAACACAAGCATCCAATAACCTTGAGCTGAGAATAATCAGGTTGTTTATGAAATAACACCTCATATGGAGTTTTCCAACCCAAAACAGAAGTAGGAACCATGTTGATAAAAAAAGTAGCAGACAACAAACAATCACCCCAAAACTTGTAAGGCAAACCAACATGCAATCTAATTGTTCTTGCAGTCTCCAAAAGGTGCCTATGCTTCCTCTCTACCCTCCCATTTTGCTGAGGATTACCAAGAATACTTTTTTGATGAATTATTCCTTTGTCAAGAAACAAAGTAGCACAAGCATCTTGTATTATTTCAGTACCATTGTCACTTCTAACAACCTTAACCTTGGCATTAAACTGAGTTAAAACATACTGCAAGAACTGAGAAACCACATAAAACACTTGTGTTTTGAACTTAAGAAAAAAAGTCCAAGTAACCCTAGAATGGTCATCAACAATTGTAAGAAAATAAAATGCACCAGAGAGAGATAGTCTTTTATACTTGCCCAGAGATCAATATGAATAAGATCAAACACAGCAGCAGCATGAGAAGTAGACAAAGGAAAAGGCATTTTATGGTGTTTCCCTAACACACATGCTTCACAACTAAAATCAATAGTGTTATTCAATTTGCCAAAAGATGGAACTGTTACATGTTTCATACACCCAATAGCTGGATAACCTAGTCTAGCATGGACAATTTCTAAACTAGGAACATGTTTTGAAGCTGTAATAGCATTATTTACAGACTGAGTAGTGCCCTTAGAATTAGACACACATTTATTACAATCTACTTTCTTAGAAAACTTGTATAAACCAGCATGACTTGAACCAGAAGCCAAAACTCTTTTAGAAGCTAGGTCCTGAAAAGAACAAGAACTATGATAAAAAAACAGCAATAAGCTGTTTATGATCAAGCAATTTTCCCACAGACAACAAATTATGTCTAAAATCTGGAATATAAAACACATTATCCAGAATAACCTCAGAATTCAGTTTAACAGTTCCATAATACTCAACATATTTAACAGTTCCATCAGGCAAAGACACTCTAATTGATTTATTTAGCTGTTTTAAAGAAGCAAACAATGCCAAATTAGATGCCATATGATCTGATGCTCCAGTATCAATAATCCAGCAATCTCTACTAAAAATATGCATCAAATTATCCACATTAGAGACAGAAATTGTACCAGCAAAATTTACAGTGGCATTGAGAGGATTATCATCTAACTCTTATGGATTGTTTAGCTGAAACATCTTGAGCACCTGATTGTAAATTGCTGACACCATAACTGGATCTGGCTGAGATGAACCAACCACATTCTTTCCAAAATTATCTAGAGAACCTTGAGGAGCAGCACCAAGAATTCCAGCAGTAGTACCACTACTCCCAGCAGAATACACATTACCAGCAAACTTAGATGGATATTTAGGCTTCTCCTTATTCCAAGAATCTGGAAAACCATGTAATCTGAAGCAACTATCAACAGCATGCCCTCTCTTCTTGCAATGCTCACAAAAAGATCATGCTTAGGCTTCTTAAAATCTCTTTTATAATTCTGAAACACAGGCTTAGGAAAAACCTTAGCAGCATGTAAAGCATTCACCTCAATTGATTCTGCTCGAGTATTATTCAACCTATTTTGCTGTTCAACTTGCTGCAAAGCATAATAGGCCTTATGAACATGTGGTAAAGGATCTGATCCTAAGAGATTCACCTTAACTTGGTCATAATCTCGATTCAAACCTGAGAGTAATTGCATTAGCTTATTACGCTGATCATTCTCAAGAATCTTCTTGAACACTCCACAACTACATGATTTCATAGCACCACAAGTGCAAGCAGGAAAACCTTCAAGGATCTGTAATTGATCCCAAATTGCCTTCAATTGGCCAAAATACTCAGCAATCGAAGCATTATTTTGCTGAATCGAGGTCAAACTACGATGTAAATCAAAAATTCTTGGTGCAGTTGTATGTCCAAATCGCTCATTCAATTCAAGCCAAAGTTGATGAGACGAATTCACAAACATAAAAGATTCAGCCAATACCTTCTCCATTGAATTTAAGATCCACGACATCACCATATAATCGTTTCGGATCCATTTCTGATAATTCGAAGAATCTGAAGCAGGCATTGGAAGAGTTCCATCAACAAATTGCAACTTATTACGAGCAATCAGCGCCATTTTCACAGTCCTACTCCAATTCAAGAAATTCGATCCAGTCAAAATATGACTTCCAAGCTGCATTCCAGGATGATCGCCATTACTAAGATAATAAGGATCATTGAAATTCATAGAGTTCGAAGAATTAAAAACATCTTCAGAATTCGCAACCATTTTCAGAAAATCAAACTGAAAAATGAATTGCAGAAAAATTTGAGGAATACGAAAGAAGAAGAGAAGAAATAGAGAAGAAACAGAGAAGAAATCAAGCAAGAAAACAGAGGAAAATCTCATAAATCATCAAATTCTGAAGCTTTGATACCATGATAAGCGGAAGAAGAAGATGAAATTCTAGAAAGAGAATATGAGAGAAATTATAAGAGGAAATTTATTATTGAAAAATCTAGAGAATAATCTTACAATTACAGAATATATAGTGTAATAATAACAAACTCTAACAACTTTCTGTTAGAGCTAACAAACTAGCCAGCTGTACAAAACTGACGTGGCATAGGGGCTTAACAGAATTGGATATAAACCCAACAATCTACAACATACAAAGGGAAACAACGTACTTGAAAAAAAAAAAAACAAAGGGAGTACTAATTAAGGAAGCTACAACCTACAACAAAAAACAAAGGGAGTAATAAAATACGGACTAGTAGATAAGGATTACCCTTGACCTCATACTACGTTATATTTGTTATGGGACATTTTGTACAACTGTTGACCGGCGTTGACATTCAAGACCAAGATATATAAGACCGAGTTAAGATGGTTATGGATGCTTCCTAAAGTTATGGAGAGAATATCTACCACTAAGAAGAAGTCAATTAAAGTTGTTGCACGTATGTGTACTCCAAACCGTCTACATTCATTGAAAGACCAAGTAAAGATTGAATAACCGCTATTTCCTATTTTCATGGAGGGCATCCTCATCCTTCTCCAACCGTCTATTGTCTACATACGAAAATCTCTATAAATAGAGAACAAGTTCCTCCCATGAGGCATCATCCATTAGCTACTTACAAAACAACTATTTTGACCCACCTCCTGCCAACCTCCGAAAATACCCATAAAACTCCTACAATAATTTCATCCACATCATCAATAATCTACTACAAATACTTCCTCCTTGCTACTATATTTTAAGCCTTTGTATAATCTTGCAAAGATATATTTCTACCCATAATAATGCACCTAATCAACCTCCTTGCCGTACTACGTTAGTCCAACATCTAATGTACATACATTTACTTATACATTGTTATGTCATCAAACGTAAAATACACATTGTACTTGTAATTATTGGCTTTATGCCCGTATTATAGTGGATTGGTGGACTCATTGCCACCCGCGGTTTTTACCCACCTTCATTTGGGTTTTCCGCGT